TTTGTCTTTTTGAGACAGGGTCTCCCTGTAGCCCCAGCTGTCCTGTCACTATGTAGACCAGGCTGGCCTTGAACTCACAGAAATCCACCTGCCTCTGCCTCCCAAATGCTAAGATTAAAGGCATGCACCACCACATCCGGCTTACCTGTGACATTTTTAAAAAATTTTTATTTATTATTTTTATTTTATGTGTGTGAGTGTTATGCCTGCATGTAGGTAAGTACACCCATGTTGTGCAATGCCCACAGAGGACATAAGAGGCTGTCAGATGCTCTGGAACTGGAGTTACGGACAGTTAACTGACATGTGGGTGCTGGGATTCAAACCCAGGTCTTCTGCAAGAACAGTGATTTTTTTTTAATTTTATTATTTTTATTTTATGTGTATGCATGTATTGCCTGCATGTAGGTAAGTGCACCCGTGTCGTGCAATGCCCGCGGAGGTCAGAAGAGGCTCTCGGATCCCCTGGGACTGGAGCTACAGACAGTTGTTAGTTGCCATGTGGGTGCTGGGATTCGAACCCGGGTCTTCTGCAAGAACAACCAGTGTTCTTAACCTCTGTGCCATCTCTCCAGCCCCTACAGTCAGTGTTCTTAATTGCTGAGCCATCTCTCCAGCCCTACCTGTGACATTTTTAAGCACAGAGTTTCTCCCATGGTTTCTAGGTCCTTGCCTGACTCCCACCTTCTGGGTCAAGTAGTTAATGATTTCTTGGCATGAGTAATTATCCTGATATGGTGTTTTCTTAAACCTAACTTTTCATGGGCACTTGGAACCAGTTAGGGGCTTCAAGGGTCATCCGACTTGAACCTACACTGAGCAAGAATACCTTAGACGCATTCCTCTCAGGAAGTAACTATCTTTACTTGTACCCTTCTGGAGACAGTATGCCTGCTCCTTCATTGGAGCAGACCTCTGCCCAGAGGTGTGCTGGTAAATGTTTAACATCTGGCTGTCCAGAGTGGGAAAAACCTGATTCATAATATCTGTTGATTTCCATAGTGTAAATACGTCTGCCATGGCCGTCCTGGAGCTACCTGCTTAGCAGCCAGCTCACACTATTGGTGAAAGTTTAACAGCCTGCCCTCCTGAGCCAGTACAAGCAGGCTGCAACACACCATTGCCTCACAAAGAGGCCTGCTCCAGCTTCACTTGCTGGAAAGTTCTTTCTGGTATTGAGCAAAATACCTCACGTGTAGCCCTTCACATCTTGAACTGCCAAGTGGAGATGGTACAGCCCCCTCCCCCTTGTACTTCTCTCTACCTCCTTTCTTCCTTCCTCTCTTCCTTTCACAAATATTTATTGGACTAAGTGACGCCATGGTGCTAAGTACTGTGCACAGACCATATCTTAGCTCCTCCCCCCCCACCCCCCCGCCTATTCTGCCTGTCCACCCCTTAGGCCCCTCTCTGACTGACACTTGCTCTCCCCAGTGTGTTGACTACCTTCCTTTCTCTTCCTGCCTTGTGCAGGCTGCCTCCCTCTCAAACCCTCCCAGAGCCTTTATCGCCCCCATTTGGCACTTATCACTTTCTACCTCGGATTACAGCTATTTGTGTACACGGCTTATCTCCCTGCCAGACAGAGAGGCAGCGCGGGCTGTTGAAAGTGTGGACTTTGGAGCCCTGTGACCTGGTCCTCCATCCTAGCCCTGCCACCAGGGATGTGAGCCCTCTGGAACTCACGCCACCTTTGGGAGCCTCAGTTTCCTTATCTGCAAAGCAGGCCTGGTGATAACTGCTTGCAAGATGGTTTTGGTCATTCAGTGGAATTAGAAATGCAACCCCCTTTTCCGGTTCCTGTCTGGACTTCCATCTTCTTCCAGATAGACATTGTGCCAGTGCCTCTTCTTAGTCTAATAGTAATAACAGCAAACATTATATAGCAATTCTAAATACAGGTCTTAGTGTAAGAATCTACATATCAGATGCATTATTCTCATAACAAGTGTGGGACTTTGAATTATACTATTATTTCCACTAATAGCTGACTGTGCTGGATGGGATATTCTACACATATAATCCCAGCATTCCAGAAGCTGAAGCAGGATGATCATTAAGAATTTGATGCTAACCTGGGTGAGACCCAGTAAGTCAGTCAATGAAAGGATAGTGTGACACACAGGTTAAATAATAAGCTCAAGGCTACACAGACAATGAATGAAAAAAACCTGAGATTTGAATACAAGACAATCTCCACCAGGGCCACAGCTGTTAAACTTGATGCTATACTATTTAGCAGTGTTACAAGTGTTCCTGGTGGCTTGTGGAACCTGGGAGGGGACGCATGATGTTCCCACCCTTTATACACCATTATCCTGAACCTTGGGGTAGGGGTGGAGTGATGCAGAGGAGCCATTGGTCTGCCCTCTGGGGACTTCCCAGAAGTAAAGTGGTTAGTACTCAAGAGAGGAACATCTCTAGGTTCTTGGACCAGGGGACCAAGGAGCCACTAATGAATGAGGCAACGGGAGGACATTCACTGAAGGTGGTGTCTGTGGTGGGCCTTGACAACTGAGAATCTGGACCAAAGTGAACAGGTGGAGGAGCGGTGGGGCCAGACATCAATGTCTGTTGGTTGTCAGGGTCACGCTTCCACACAGCCTGGTGGGTAGAGAACAAAGGCTGTGTTCCGGGACAGGGACAACTCATGGGCTTCAGAAGCCACTGCAGAGCAAAGTTGGCTGGGCTACCCAGGGTCAGGTTTACATTCTGCTTCTCTACGAGCAGCCCTGAATTCAGCTCATCGCTCTACTTTGCTGAGCCTCAGTTTGTCCTGCAGAATGAGCGAGAACAGTGGGCCTTGGAGCCAGCTGGAGGATGACGGTGGTGGCCAGTGGGAGCTGGAAACTCCTGGGCAAGAAGTGGTGGGAAGTCACTGGAGAGAGAGAAGAGGTCATAGGACCAGAGGAGCCCAGTGTGCCTGGCTCGGGGTGGTGCACCAGGTCTGCCCAATCTTCCTTACCACATACCCTGTTCTCTGTTGCCAAAGCTGCCCGAATCTGCTGGCATCTACAGAGACAGCTCCATGTTGAACCCTGTTCCTCCCACCAACTCACCATCCCTGCCCAGCCTCCCATAAGAACTGGGCCTCAGGTGTGTGACAGAACCTTAAAATGAAAAGTGACCCTTACCCCAACCCTGGCAGGCTCCCTGGGACCCTGGAGGAACTACAGAAGGAAGAAGGTGAATTAAGCCTGGCTCTCACCCTCAGGGGTCTCTATGATGCTAATCTATTCTGCCTTTGATCCGCTCTCTCCCAGCTCCTGCCCAATTTGAGCCCGAGCCTCAAGATGCACTGGCGTGGAGATTAGGGCTGCCCTGGGTGAGGCCCAGGCAGATTAGACCCAGCAGATTGGGGCTTTGTCTCTGGAGAGGGATCTGGGGATCAGAGTCCTGGTTCCTTGCCAGATTTATGCACTACACCCTCTTTTTCCAGAACTTTCTCACTTTCCCTGTCCAGGACTGATCCTCGCTTCTCTAGGTGTCTCTGGTGGTCCCAAAGAGGAACCCAGTGCACTCTGGGGACAAAGGCCAGAGGCTCTGGCCTGTATGCAGCGGAGCCAGGCCATAAATTAAGGTTTTCCAGGTTCCAATCCCACTGGATCTCCGTGAAGGATCTTTGATTAGGTTATTTATGTATTTATTTTTGAATATGTTTTTATTTTATATATGTGAGTGTGTTGCCTGCATGTATGTAAGTGCACCCATGTCCTGCAGTGCTCATGGAAGTCAAAAGAAGGCATTGGATTCCTCTGGAACTGGCATTATGGATAGTTGTTAGTCACCATGTAAGTGCTGGGAATCAAATCCTGGGCCTTCTCTCCAGTCCCTGATCAGGTTGTTTTTTAAAAATCAACATTCATAGATGGCTCCTACAGGCCAGGGGGTGCTTGGGTGCTTGAACATGGCACCTGTGATAGGTCTGCCTGCAGGGAGGCCAAGTCTCCCAAGGAACTGTGCAGTAAGTGGTGAAGTCTGACCAAACCCAGGACAGAAGCTGACCAGTATCTCTCACCATATAGGGGACACCAAGGTCCAGGTGGATGTGCGTAGCCCATGCAAAGAATGAGCTGGCTTTCTGTGCCTACCTTCCTGTCTTGTTCTAGACATGACTGGAATCTGTGCACTCAGTAGAGCTGGGATGACAGCCCAGGCTTCCATACTGCTACAGAGTGGGTACAGAACACCTTTGAGGGTGCTAGCCTCAGGGACTCAGAGATCTCTCAACCAACCCAGCCTTAAAACAGCCCCATAAACTTGGGCATATACACAATTAAAATTTTATTACATTATATTTCCTACATATAAAAGACTTTGTGAGCTATGAAAAACATCACAATGAAAGTTCCTGACCACTCTGCTTAAGAACTGTGTCATCTGGGCACTGGGGAAGATCTGCCTCTTTGGGCCCCCTACTTTCCAAAAGGAGCCACTGCTCTAAATAGAATCATTACTCCCTCTTTTTATAACAAATAATTTCAGCACATGTGTGCAGGATGCCTGGGCTAACTGCAGCTTTGAGATATTGCACTGGATTCTGCAGTATCAGAGGATGTGCCTTCTTTAAGGGAAAGGGAGAGCTTCAAGGATCAACCTGTACCCTTGTGTACTCCTTTTCTCCAGGCCACTCGGAGCCTCGTTTGGCCCCCAGCAGCAAATGCTCTGAAATAGGACACTTCTTGGTAGTCAGCAGGATCCAGGCAGCATCTGGCAGCTGGACATTCCTCAAGCAAGCTGTGCTCCTGTGTATTTGCCTAAGCAGTGCCTTCCATCTGTAAGGCCTCTTTCTTTCTCCCCATGTAGGACACCTGGCTGCTTCTTCCCAATCCAGCTCCAAAGTTTCATTCCAAGGCATTCTTCCTTGGCAGATCTACCTTCCTGTGCCCTGTCAGGGTCTTTGGGTATCCCACCTTCTCCCAGGGCAGAATACTAGTGGCCAGTACCCAGATTCCAGGTGAGTTGAGCACCGGACCCGAAGCGGACATTCCTAGAGTGACTCAGATAAATCAGTATGTAAGTGATACAGATGGAAGTCCCTGCGTGCAAAGACCTCCAAAGACACGGTCTGCTTCAAGGCTAGTGACTGGGACTGGGAAGCAAATCTCAGGAAGGCTCCTAGGGCTAGAGGTCCTGTGCTACTCACCTGCTGGGTGGATGTCTAAGTAATGGGCATGCCCACAAGTAGGTATGGTTGTCATAGAGTACACATGCATGCAGGTGTTTACACATATGTATAACATGGCCCCAAGTCCATAGGTGTGTGGGATATGCAGGGGACTTTCTTCTCTTCATGGACAGGCCTGTTTGATCTCTGGAGGACCTGGACCACAGAGGTTTTGGACAGAGCAGTATGCAGGAAGCTGGCCCTTGAGGGGATGGATTGACTATTAACATGCCATCCTGGGCTCCTTCCTACCAGTCCTAACAGCCTCCAGACCACAGCTTCTACCTCCCAGGTGGAGTCCCTGTATTCAGAAGCCTGACAGGGAACCAGCAGGTCAACAGTGGGACCGGAACTGTGAAACCAGCACCTGGGTGGCCAGTGCTTGGTTCCTACCCTGAGTGCAGGGCTCTGTCAGAACCCTACTTCTAGGAGGATGCTCAGAGCAGGAAGGTCCAGAATCCTCTCTTCTCTCTTGCTTCCTTGGGACTAAGCAATAGTTTTTCCCAGAGGCATTTCCCAAGTCCTGTAGGAAAGTGCCACAGCTGTAGGTAGTGGCAAAGACTGAAGGCAGCCTGGAGCAGATGGAGACCAGACAGAGTAGAACAGCACATCAAATGTCTAGGTCGCGCCCCTGCTGTGGTATACACACACACACACACACACACACACACACACACACACAGAGTTACACACATGTTTGCATGCCCAGAGAGGACATAAGAACTGAAGACACACAGAGTCAGAGCCTGCCCTGGTACGCCGAACCTTTTAATCTTGGTCTGTCTGTTTATTCAGGCTGTTCCCAAAGGCAGCCCTCAGCAACTGAGTACCAGTCTGTGGTGTTTGGGGGAGATGAACTTTGGCATGACCAGGGGGTCAGTTGTGGGCCATTTTGGACCTCCCTTTCAAGTGGCATGGTGACATGGACTATTATTGTGGCCATGGGGACTGGTAGACTCCTGTCTTTTCTTCCACCCATCATCTAAAGGCCACCTAGAAGGCCAGAGTGGAAGCTTTCTCCTCTGATGTAAGGTTGGCACTGTGGCTTGGCAGGCAGGATCTCTGCCTGGGAACCCTGAGAGCCTGGCAGACCCACGACTCCTCTCTTCCAGCTGTGAGACTGTGGACAGCCACCTTGACTCCCCCAAACCTAGTTTTACACCTGTCTAGACAGGATAGCCACTACTTAGTAGTACTTAAAGATGGCCAGGCCAAGGGTGAAGAAATACAATTGGGGTACTCTGAATTTTTCAGGTCCCATGCCTGGCAGAGGCCATTGGGTTCAGGTCACCAACACTACAGGATGCTGGCTGTCCTGATGGTCCCAAGAGAGCCAGATTCTAGTCTCATCGTTGCCTTAACAGCTGGAAGCCTTGAGCATGTCCTTTGCCCTCTCTGGCTGCAGCTGTCTCCATATCAAAGGAGTCACCAATCAAGGGTCACATGAGACAAGAGCAGCTGGTGGGACATCAGATGGGCCTAGCAAGTCACAAGCCAATGCCCCTTCAAGGTATGCTGGAGCACAGGACACTCAGTGCCCACAGCTTCTAGCCTCCAGTGAGGTGAGCTCTATCTACATGTTCCCAAAGAGGGAGACCGAGTAGTTTGGGGGATCCTCTTCTGAGCCCACTGGCTGCCTGTGATGGATGGGCTTCCATGGAGGGGGTGCCTAGGTCCCTTTGAAGCTTCATGTCTACTGTAAGGGCAAGGACAACCTGTTTTCAAAGCAGCTCCTCTGGCTCCCAATTACCCTTCCTCACCCATAGGTGGAATCTCCACTCAGCGAGCTAAAGAAGGACACCCATGCAGCTGGCTGCCACTCACCCATACCTGGAGGGATCGGGCTTCCTTGCCACCTCTATGCAGCCTCTGGCAACCTGAGTGGCAGAAACCAGCTCAGGTTTCTGATTTTAATGATTTCCTGAATTCATTCCATTTCCTACCTCGGGGAAAGGAGGAGAGGCGATCCTCTTGGAAATTCATATAATTGCTTTTATTTGATTTTTATTAAAATGCATTCAGGAATAATGTGATTGCCCCCGTTATTACGTTGTTCATCAATCTTGCTCTGGGAATCTGCAGTAAAAAAAAAAAAAAGGGTGCAGGAGCCTGCAGGGTACCCGCAGTGATTGGGGGCCCTTCTGCCCTGGGGGAGTTGCAACCCACCTCTGGGTTCCCCTCAACTCCTGGCTGGAGAGATGGGCCTGCTGCGTGCTCTGAGTATATTCCAGGTGTCCCCCAACCTCAGCTCTCCCTCACTTCCTACCTTCTTACCTTGGGAACAGAGTCAGAGAGGCAGGGTCTATGGCTGGGGACCTGCTGGCTTCCCTTACAGGCTTCCAGTTCCCTCTACATTTGGCCTGTTTCTTGCCACCGCCTTTTGCTTTGGGTCCTGAATGTGCAGAACCCGGCATCTCATGCAGGCCCAGTGCAGTCCTTAATCCACTTGATGTGGTTAGAAGCTGGGCAAATTGCTTTGCCTTTCGCAGCCTCAGTTTATTGATGAGCTGGTGGAAACACAGCCAAGTACAGTGGTGCACTTCTGTGATCCCTGACCTGGGGAGACTGATGCAGGAGGACCTGTCTGAGCTACATAGTAAGACCCTGTCTTAGAAAGGCAAAAGCCAGCTAACATGAACACGAAGACCATCCTTTGTGAAGTGAGAAAGTTAAGTGAATGGACAGCAGGTGCCATGGGCCTATAGCTCCCACAGGTATGCATCGATGTGCATCCAGAGACAGGGTCTTGTGGCCCTGCTTTGCCGGAGGATGGAGGGGCCGGATAAGCACTCGAGGAAAGAACTAGACTGACTGCTGTGGCCACTCTGAGACAGGTCATGCCTAGCACTGTCACTGCATCACTGTAGCCTGTCTCCTCCCCCAGTACAGCAGCACTGGCCTCTCTGTTCAATTGCTGCTTGCTTGCCACCCTTTGGGTCGGGGAGGAGGACCTGAAGTTTCTAGAAGCATGTTTACTGGGTTTCCCGGGAGCACCTCGTATCCCTGAGCTCACTACATACTTCTGACTGCTCAAGCCGTGGCTTTGTGCTCTCCTATAGCAGACAAAGTAACTGAGATGCAGAGGGTGAGTGACTTATGCGGGGAAGCCCAGCTAGGTAGCAGAGACCTGAGGACACACACTAGGATGGGCTGAGAATCCCCTGCCACCACAAAGAGATTTTGAAGGGCTGCAATTTTAACAGATGGGTGGCCCCATGAGAAACACCTGTACCTTCAGGTGGGGGTGCTACATGGATGTCCAAGGCAGTCTGGGCCCACTTAACCCTGGCTGCTTGCTCTAAGGTGGTCTGCCCCTGTTGGAGGGAGCTGCACCAGAAGTCAAGGAGTGTGGGGGTAGATACTCATATTTAGAGGCCTCTGGGGGCAGGGCTTTGCATTTCTGTGAAAAACTTGTCTTCACTTTAGAAAAATGCAACAAAAATTAAACTCACCTGTTGAGTTTTCATTTTTTTATGTGTCTATTTTGGTGCAAGTCATTTGTCAAAGGACACAGCCAAGGATTTGAGAGAGTGGATTTTGAAGTTTGACTGTGGGGTCTTTGAGGGTCCTTTGGGCTTACCATTCAGCTGAGCACATAGGGCTTTGTGTTCTCTCACACTTTGTCTATACTGTTCCTGCCCCTGAGATGCTGTTCCTGCCCATCTCTGTGCTGTTCTCTACATGCAGCCCAGATCCTTGAGATCATTCCCTCTGAAACATGGGCTCTGCCCTAGAGCCTGCATCTGTTCTTGCTCTGACACCAGGCTCCAAAACCTGCCCAGATGCCCAGCAGTCCCAGCAGAGATTTGCTACCGTCTTTCCAGTTGGGCTGTAGTCTGTCCAGGAGGGCAGGCCCTGTCTTTTCATGGAAAGGGCCAGGCAGAGGGCTGGAACAGTCCCTTAGAATTTTAGAAGAACCCAGCCCTGAGGGGAGAAAGGGAACACCAGTCATAGTGAGCCTTAGCCTGTGAGTGCCTGGGATGTGGAACCTTCAGTTCTGAGCTGAAGTTCTGGGTCAGTTTTAGCTTAAGCCACGTGCTAGGGATGACCCAGCAAGCCCAGAATGTAGAACTTCTTGATACATGGCCTATCATCTGATGATTTAAGTGACTCACATGCTCCTCTGGGGGACAGTGACTGCGGGGTGGGCATGAGCAGGTCATCTAAGGGCTGAATAGAGGGCACTGGCCACCTCTGAATCTCTGGTTGGTCCTGTGCCCAGGCTCATCTTTCCTCTCTGAGTAGCATAGGCTAAAAGCAAAGGCAAACCCATACCCCACAGATGCTAAGGTTGTCCCCTTCTGACCCCTGGAGGCCAGGCACAGAGCAGGCAGGGCAGGTAGCTTCAGAGAGCCTTGAACCTAGGCCCTGCATGTACTATAGGGCAAGTTGCACCTGGCCACCTCAGATACCCTACAGCTCAGCCACCAGAGGGACTGACTCCCTGGCATTGTACCCCAGCCTCCTTGCTGCCCCCCAGCCTCCTGCTCACATCCTGGCCTCCCTGCAGCACCCTGGCCTCCCAGCCTCCTTGCTGCAGCCTGTGGTTGCATCGTGGTTGCATCCTGCTCTCCCAGCTACACCCCGGCCTCTAAGCTGCACTCTGCCCTCTATCTTGTGTCTAGCCTCCCTGCTGCACCCCAGTCTCCCCGATGCACCCAGCCTCCTGCTTGCACCCAAGCTTCCCTGCTGCACTCCAGTCTTGCAGAGCTTGCGGCTCCCTTATCAGATCTCCGTTTGTCTCCTTGGAGGCCTCAGCCTGGCCCTGCCCCCACCTCGTGGCCCTTTCCTCTCTGAAGTGATGTTCCTTTTCCTGTCACCCCCATGTGCAGTGCACAGGAGATGTTTGCTCCTGCTTCTTTAAAACTGTTTCCTTTCGGTGGTGGGGTGGTTTTCTGACTGAGCTGCAGAGTCCTGTTGTGCACCCGTATGTTCTAGGCAGCAGGTGGGCTGTGTGGGACTTGGGGCTACTGAGGGCTGCACCCATCATGTCAGGGCTATGGATCCCATGTAAAAGCACTGTGTACTAGCCCAGGCTCCACAGTACCACTGACAGCTCACACTCCTATGGAAGCCTGTGCATTGGTCAGAGGTTGCTAGCCAGTTCCTACTGTAGGTAGGTGAGCCAGCAAGGCAGCTGACTGTCAAGCTTCTGGACCTCCAGTCTGGGTTCTACCCAGGGTACAATGCAATCTTAAATCTTGCCTTTCTACTTTCCCTTTGTTGCTCGCTGTCTCCCAACCACACAGGGGCTGCAACAGAATCAAGCAACGCAGCTCCCCAATGCTTCTATCTCAAGCTCTCTGGCTTGAGTGAATGATAGGAGCTAGAAGTTCAAGTCTACCTGCTAGGTGGCCTTGGGCAAGCCATTCAGCCTCTCTGAGTGTCAGATGGTTTAGTTAGTAAGTAAGAAATGTAGAAGGGATCCTAAGAGTGCTGGGCATGATGGCACACACGTTTAATCCCAGCACTCAGGAGGCAGAGGCAGGGGGATCTCTGTGAGTTCAAGGCCAACTTGGTCTACATAGAGAGTTCCAGGCCAGCTGGGGCTACAGGAAGACCCTGTCTCAAAAAAGAAAAAGGAAGTGACCCTAAGAGCCGGTAGACTCTGGAGGCAAAGAGGCTGCAGGTAGGGGAGATTGGCAGAGGTGATATGGGCTCTGTGGTCATGTTCTAGAAGGACCCTAGAGGCAGCAGAGCTGGAGGCTGGAAGGCTACCAAGGGGATTTCAGCTCTTCAGAAAAATTAATTAAGTGACCCACCTTCTCACTAAGAACAGGAATCATGGATGCCAGACTGTCCCACTTGCCTGTAACCTAGCTCCTGCCCACCCAGGACAGAATTCCTAAGCAAGGGGCAGGAGCTCTCCTTTCCTCCAGTCCAGGCCAGCTCCAGCATCCATGAGAACAGCTGGCAGAACAAGACTTGGGGACTGAGCATGCATGTCCCATCTATCTCTTGTTTTGAGCCCCCAGCTCCAGCCCTGTAGCCCCTCGCCTGGAGCAGGACAAAGTAGTATGTGTCTAGACTCCCTGTTTGCCTTCACATAGGGCCAGGAGAAGGATCCCAGGGACCTCAGGCAGGTTGGTGTCTAGGTGTTCTTACAGGTGAATGGGCCTCCTTGGCCTGAGTGGGGCCCTAGATGTGACCTTCCCGTGACAGAGGCTGAGGGGTGTGTGTGTGTTGGGGCGGGGAGACACAACCACCTTTAATATCCCTTGACTTCTCATCTTGGTGGGACAAGGGTGTGTGGGCTGGGATCACATTTTCCTCAGCAAGCTTCATTTTTAAAATTGTTATTCAATATTTTTTATTTTGTGTATGAATGTATTACCTGCATGTATGTAAGTGCACCTGTGTTGTGCAATGCCCTCAGATCCCCTGGATATGGATGCTGCCATGTGGGTGCTGGGATTCGAACCTGGGTCCTCTGCAGGAGCAGCTAGTGCTCTTAACCCCTGAGCCATC